GTGTTATAATTCATTGTAATAGTTGTGGTTAAATAGAGATGAGATGTAAATGTATATCTACCTGGTAATATACGTCTGGTTGGCATCATCTCAGTGCCACTGTTAATTGGTGACCGGACTGGTTATCAGGTTCAGAGATGGAAAGAAGCACTGAAGAGTGAACAGGAGTTTAGGAAACAAACACATGCCATTTATCTGAATAAAGAATGAAGCCACTGTGAGCTGCCGGTTAGCAAAATTTTAAACGTGAAACAATTGGAGAGTAGGAATGAAGCAGTAATTTAGGGAACCCATCTGAGGAAGAGAAAATTTATACAGGGCTATTTTGAACCTGGTTAGACCTGTAGAAAGCACAGAATTGATGTTGAATGCCATTAGGTCAGCAGGAGCTGAGACCTGGAACTGGCTCTGGGAGTGTAGCTTTTACCTTTTTCAGATCAGTTAGCTAAGGGAAATAACTTACCTAGGACTGAGAGTGAAAGTAAGAAGTCAGGAAGAAGGCTAGCACCATGTTAAAAGTAAAACAACTTGAAACACATGTGCCATATGAAGGAAATGTACTGTATAAAAAGAACAAAGATGTCTGTGTCCAGAATATAGGTATCAGGCACTTCTTTTGAAGACATTCAGAAATATTTTTTATTCTAACACCTTTGATTATATGCAAGTGTCCAGACAGCAGATCTTTATCTGCATTTCTAAAATGATACAAAACCTGACCTGAATAGACATGAGGCTGTTTGTCAACTTTATTTATTCCACTTAATGTGATTATAGGGTGCTGTTTCAGATCTGCTGGGGACATATATAATTATAGCATATTATACATGTACTATGGTCTTTTTATGCATTTTGAAGAGTTCTGTGTTCTGAAACAAATCTGACCCATGGGTTACGTAAGAGATTGTGGACTTGTCCTTTAAAACAATGTTTTGTAGGTGACAGCAGAATTAAATTTATTTTCTAGAAACCATAGTTTATTTGATATAATTCAGGGAATAACCAAATACAAAACAGTTTTCAAATGTCTTAAAATGTTCCCCGTTCCCTTTACATTTCTTCATCTCAGTTTTTGTTATATAATGGTTATGGGTCTTGCTTAAGACAAATACAAACTCAGAATGACTGTTAAGAATTTCAGTGTTTGGGAAGTTTTGGAGAATGTTGACTCTCCTTGCTCAACAGTTTTTTCTTTTTTTTTTTTTGAGACAGAGTTTCGCTCTTTTTACCCAGGCTGGAGTGCAATGGCGCGATCTTGGCTCACCGCAGCCTCCGCCTCCCGGGTTCAAGTGATTCTCCTGCCTCAGCCTCCTGCGTAGCTGGGATTACAGGCATGTGCCACCACCCCGGCTAATTTTGTATTTTTAGTAGAGACGGGGTTTCTCCATGTTGGTCAGGCTGGTCTTGAACTCCCGACCTCAGGTGATCCACCTGCCTCAGCCTCCCAAAGTGCTGGGATTACAAGCGTGAGCCACCGTGCCCGGCCAGTTTTTTCATTTAGGATGGTGGGTAAGACAGGCTAAGAAAAAAGGCAGCATAACCTCTGGTGGCAGGGTGGTATGGTGCTGAAGAGGCCCTGGAGTCAGGTCCTAATCCTGATTCACAATTACTAGCTATGTGACCCTGGGCGAGACTCTTAACTTTTCTGAGTTTATTATCTCTAAAGTGGTGAAAATTACACAGAACCTGCCTCTTAGATTATAGTTACTATTTTGGGTTCTATTTTGGTATACCTGATCCCCTTATGTTCTTGTTTTCAAACTCTGATGAGGTACAATTAAATACTATGGAGTTAACGAGGACAATTCTGGTTTTAGGGAAGGAAGAAAGAAGATTTAACTCTCAGGTAGCTTAGGTCAGCTTCATATCGAAGGTGAAATTTATGAAAATATATAATGTGCTTTTGGGTTTTTAAATTGAAAAAATAGCTGGAATAGGCTGGGCAGGGTGGCTCATGCCTATAGTCCCAGCACTTTGGGACGCTGAGGTGGGCAGATCGCTTGAGCCCAGGAGTTCGAGACCAGTGTGGGCAACATGGTGAGACCTCTGTCTCTACTAAAAATACAAAAATTAGCTAAGTGTGTTGGTGTGCACCTGTAGTCTCAGCTACATGGGAGGCTGAGGTGGGTGGATCACTTGAACCCAGGAGGCGGAGGTTGCAGTAAGCCAAGGTTGTGCCACTGCACTCCAGCCTGGGTGACAGTGTGAAACTTTGTCTCCAAAAAAAGAAGAAAAAATAGCTGGAATGATTGCTGAATAATGTTCTTGGACTATACTTACTAATGCAGGAAAAGTAGAATCAGACCTGGCTCTAAATTTATAATGGGTTTATTTTTCTTTCTTTTTTTTTGATGGAGTCTCACTGTGTTGCCCAAGCTGGAGTGCAGTGGCACGATCTCGGCTCACTGCAGCCTCCGCCTCCCGGGTTCAAGCAATTCATCTGCCTCAGCCTCCCGAGCAGCTGGGATTACAGGCATGCACCACCACACCCAGCTGATTTTTGTATTTTTAGTAGAGATGGGGTTTCACCATGTTGGCCAGGTTGGTCTTGAGCTCCTGACCTCAGCTGATTCACCCACTTTGGCCTTCCAAAGTGTTGAGATTACAGGTGTGAGCCACTGCACCCGGCTGGGTTTAGTTTTCTTTATGTTGTTGACCTACTAATGTATTAGCTTTAAGAAAACCCAATATGTCAAAAACAAAGCACAAAGTTGGTAAATGAAATAAACCCATATTACCTAAGGATTTTAAAATAATAATTGATAGTTGCCGTCACCGACTGCGTCCTCTGACTTCGCATACAATTGTGGGCAGTGGCCAGGTTTGTTCACAAAATTTCTAAGAATTCTAATGAAAGTATGAAACTCAGAAAACAAGAACAAAACTGTTTACCATGGCTTTAATTTTATATTTTTCTATCTTGCCAGAAACCCAGTTTCCACATAGCCTCTTCTCACCAACTACTGTGCCTTGTGGTACTGAGACTGTCCACTTTTGAATGATGAGATCAGTCTTAGGAATGGATTATGGCAAGATTTTTTTTTTTTTTAAATTCAGACTGAGAGCTCCTTTGTAGTTTTTATGGTTACATTTATTTGCATTTGGATCTCAAATCATCTTGAATTTATTTTGGTTTGAAGAATAACATTTTTATTCAAACATTATGCTTGATGACTACTTATTGCTGAATATTCTACTGGCAAAAATTGACAGGCTTCCAGACTAAAGAAATAAATCAGTAGTGAAGATAGTCTGAGTCTTATATTCTTCTGAGCTGGTATAGATGGCCCATTTTTTTAAAAGACATTTTATTTATTTATTTATTTTTGAGACAGAGTCCCACTTTGTTGCCCAGGCTGGAGTGCAGTGGCATGATCTCGGCTCACTGCAACTTCCGCCTCCCGGATTCAAGTGATTTTCCTGCCTCAGCCTCCTGAGTAGGTGGGATTACAGGTTCCTGCCACTGTGCCTAGCTAATTTTTGTATTTTTAGTAGAGATGGGGTTTCGCCATGTTGGTTAGACTGGTCTCGAACTCCTGACCTCAGGTAATCCTCCCGCCTTGGCCTCCCAAAGTGCTGGGGTTACAGGCGTGAGCCACTGTACCCAGCCTACAAAAGGCATTTTAATAAATTAATATATATTTACATGTAATAAAATGCACTAGTTTTACCTTTTGGTTTTGTTTTGTTTTTGAGACAGTCTTACTGTCACCCAGGCTGGAGTGCAGTGATGCAGTCTTGGTTCACTGCAACCTCCGTCTCCTAGGTTTAAGCAATTCTCATGCCTCAGCCTCCTGAGTAGCTGGGATTACAGGCATGCACCACCATGCCTGGCTAATTTTTGTATTTTTAGTAGAGATGGGGCTTCGCCATGTTGGCCAGCCTGGTCTGGTCTTGAACTCCTGGCTTCACGTGATCTGCCTGTCCCGTAGTTTTATGTTTTTGTGTTTTTTTTTGAGTCTCACTCTGTCACCCGGGCTGGAGAGGAGTGGCGTGATCTCGGCTCAGTGCAACCTCCGCCTTCTGGGTTCAAGCAGTTCTCCTGTTTCAGCCTACAGGTGTGTACCACCATGCCCGGCTAATTTTTGTATTTTTATTAGAGACAGGTTTCACCATGTTGGCCAGGCTTCTCTCGAACTCCTGACCTCAGGTGATCCACCTGCCGCGACCTCCCAAAGTGCTGGGGTGAGCCACTGTGCCCAGCCAATTTTATGTTTTAACAAATATATACCCATGTAACTACCATCCCAATCAACATAAGCGTATTTCCATCACCCTACAAAGACTTCTGATGCCCATTGCAGGTGATACCCCAGGCTCATTCTGTTGAGTTGGGTTTCAAACTAGAAATCCTAACTTCAGAGCCTGAGTTCTCACCCATTATACTTTACTGCTTTCCTAACTGAAGATTTATTTTCTTTATATAGCTTACCTGCTATATTTGCATGCTCATTGATTATTTATTATAGGCTGGAGGTAATTTGATAGTGTCATCATTCATCCTGAAACTTTGGTATTTTCTTTATTTTATCTTTTCTTGACTTGCCACATCAATCAGTCATCAAATTTTTGCGAAACCTTTATAATATCTCTTGCTTCTTACCTCCTGACATTATCAGTAAAAATATTTAGTTCATTAAAATACATTGTTCATCGTTTGGTGTTCTGTTGGGTTATGTAAATTTAATTGTTTTAATAATAGAAAAGTTTTTATTAGCAAGGTAGTCATCCACGATTCTATGTAGATTCTGTGCTCTCTGTGCCTTATGTCGATAAGCCCCTCTCTTGTTATTTCAGTCCCATGTGATCAATAAAACAGCAAGCAGTCTTTGGTCCAAGCCAGATTCTCCACCTGTACCCTAAATCAGCAAATGACCTCAGGACAAGGCAGCTGTATAGCCTTACTTCCCTTTTGATGAGTCTTTGCTGCTACCTATGTATATTTAATACTAAAGTGTTGAATTTCAGAGGTTTTGTGATACAAGTGTTTTCTTTTCTAGGACTTTTCCAGATTTCTCAGAATAAAGTAGCAGTTCTTCTTCTAGCTGGTGGGCAGGGGACAAGACTCGGCGTTGCATATCCTAAGGGGATGTATGATGTTGGTTTGCCATCCTGTAAGACACTTTTTCAGATTCAAGCAGAGCGTATCCTGAAGCTACAACAGGTAGCTGAAAAATATTATGGCAACAAATGCATTATTCCATGGTAAGATACATCTCATTATTGGAGTGTGTCTGAACATATACTGTTTTATAATATTCAAAATGCATATATACACTTTATTCACTCACAGACATATTTCTTGTTACTGAAGATTTTCTTGGGAGGTGTAATTTACTATATATGTGAAAAGTAATATACATTATTGCTTGGTAGATGACCACTATTGACTTAATAAACAATACTTACTCACGACCAACTTTTACATTCCTAACTGAGTACCTTAAAGTGCTCAGTGAGCTCTCTGCATCTAGAAACTCTTATTTTCAAGTACCAGGTTATTTAGCTCTCCCACATCCACGCGCGCCTCTTCCACATACACACCAGGTTTGGCTGACTGCGTCCTCTGCCTCCCGGGTTCAAGCGGTTCTCCTGCCTCAGCCTCCCGAGTAGCTGGCATTACAGGTGCCTGCCACCACACCTGGCTAATTTCTGTATTTTTAGCAGAGATGGAGTTTCACCTTGTTGGTCAGGCTGGTCTTGAACTCCTGACCTCATGATCTGCCCGCCTCAGCCTCCCAAAGTGCTGAGATTATAGGCATGAGCCATTGTGCCTGGCTGGTTTTTTTTTGTATTTTTTGTAGAGACAGGGTTTCACTTGTTACTTAGGCTGGTCTCAAATTCCTGAGCTCAAGCGATCTGCCTGCTTCGACCTCCCAAAATGCTGGGATTACAGGTGTGAGCCACTGTGTCCAGCCAGTGTTAGTTTCCTAAGTACCAAGAGATTACAGAAGATCCTGCTCTGCTTTTTACAAGTTTTTGGTTCAGCTCTTTAATCTCTTTCCCCGAGCAGTTTTGGAAGTTACCGTGTTTTGAGGGGAAAATCAGCTGTGTGTTTGAAGCCCCCCAAAGTCCCTATCTTGTTATTCCAATCCCATGTGATCAACAAAAGCTCCACTAGTTTCTGTCCCCCAGCAGCCTTTGGTCCAAGCCATATTCACCACTAGCCTGTACCCCAAATCAGCAGATGCCCTCAGGACAAGGCCTCAGTTCCTTTTGAAAGATTCTGTCTCTGGACTTACAGTTCCAATCTATTTTGCCTCTGAAGCTCTCTGATGCCTTTAAAAATCTGCTTTTTGTAATTTTCCTAGCTTTTCTAGCTCTTCTTACCACAAGTACTGGCCTGCTGTGAACTGTTTGGTTCATCTTGATTCCTGTGGGGAATTTGGAGGAACATCTGTGTTCTAAGTGGCCAGCATTCTACTTACAGCCCTGGCCTCCTACTATCATGTCGAATTTTCTTCTCTTTCTTCCATTTCCTCACAACTCAGAATTTCTGTTCTTATGCAGAGAAGTTTAGCCACTTCTTTTGTCGTCTTCTAAATATATCTAAACCTTTTGTACCTAAAGTTCAAAATATCCAGGATAATTTGTTAAACAGACAGATACCTCCTGTGGTATGAAATTATACTATTTTGTTTATTTATTTAACAAATATTACTTGAGTGTCTGTTTCTAGGTGTTGAGGATAAATCAGTAACCAAAATAGGCAAAAATCCCTTCTTATTTGTAGTTTACATTCCAGTAAGGGCAAAAGCTACCACAGTCACTAATTATAGTTTTAGATATTATTTTCTTCTTATCCGCACTAGCATGGGTTGACTTTTTGTGACAACAGAAAGTATAATTATACTTTTATGATTTTTAAATGGAGGGTTAGCAGAGCCCAGATTGCATTTCAAATTTCAATAAAAGGAACCCCAAGAGATCATTAAACTGTATTACAGTTACCCTTTTCTTCCTATTTATTCAGAATAGGCTTTTCAAATTTAAAATACACTTTCACAGAGTTCCAAAATGTTTCCGTAAGCCATTTTATAGGTTCTCTGGAAGGAGTTATGTTTAGTATGTTTAATATTGTTAAGTAGATTTATTTCATACCTAAGAGTTGATGAAATTACTGAAAGAAATTTCCCTTGGGAAACAGCTAATGAATGTGTCTTACCCAAGAAAAATATGAAGGAAGTCAAAATAATAAGCAAGCACTTTTTTTTTTTTTTTTTTTTTTGAGACAGAGTCTCACTCTGTCACCCAGGCTGGAGTGCAGTGGCCGGATCTCAACTCACTGCAAGCTCCGGCTCCCGGGTTTACGACATTCTCCTGCCTCAGCCTCACGAGTAGCTGGGACTACAGGTGCCCGCCACCTCGCCCGGCTAGTTTTTTGTATTTTTTTAGTAGAGACGGGGTTTCACCGTGTTAGCCAGGCTGGTCTCGATCTCCTGACCTCGTGATCTGTCCGTCTCGGCCTCCCAAAGTACTGGGATTACAGGCTTGAGCCACCGCGCCCGGCCAAGCAAGTACTTTCAAAGGTATCTTTAGCTTAGGAAATAGACAAAACTTTATTTTGCCCTAGTCCACCTAGCACGATTGCTTAGAAGATCTAATTTTCTCTTGTAAGGTATATAATGACCAGTGGCAGAACAATGGAATCTACAAAGGAGTTCTTCACCAAGCACAAGTACTTTGGTTTAAAAAAAGAGAATGTAATCTTTTTTCAGCAAGGAATGCTCCCTGCCATGAGTTTTGATGGGAAAATTATTTTGGAAGAGAAGAACAAAGTTTCTATGGCTCCAGGTTTGTAATCATCCTTATTTAATGGTGACTAGAAAAGGTAACAACCTAAATCATCAAATGTTGATTTGCTTTTTAACATGGTGATTTGAGTATTTAAACATTAATATGTATGTGTTTTTTGCAGCTTGGAAATAATTTAAAAAGATGAAAATGCCCGTTGGTGGAATGGATACACTTTTATACTTGTTGTTGATGTCTGCTCTGTAATGGAGCAATTTGAGGAACATTCAGGGTATTCATTCTCTATAACAAGTATTTTATTTTACTTTTTATTTTTTAAATTTTTGAGACAGAGTCTCACTCTGTTGCCCAGGCTGGCATGCAGTGGCACAATCTCGGCTCACTGCAATCTCTGCCTACTGGGTTCAAGTCATTCTCCTGCCTCAGCCTCCTGAGTAGCTGGGATTACACCACGCGCCACCATGCCCGGCTAATTTTTTGTACTTTTTTGTAGAGATGGAGTTTCGCCATGTTGGCTAGGCTGGTCTCCTGACCTCAAGTAATCTACCTGCCTTGGCCTCCCAAAGTGCTGGGATTGCAGGTGTGAGCCACCGTGCCTAGCCATATAGCAAATATTTTCTATATACTGCAATGTTCATGGCTACATTATTTATTATAGTAAAAACTTGAAACCATATGCTATTTAGTAAATGAGAGGCTAAATTAAGTTTATAAATAGCATTAATTCTTACATGGCATTAAAATAATTGGTGGCATTAAATGAAACACATTATTTCAGTAGGTTAAGTAAGAGAATGCAAAATGAAAAACTGCATACAGTCTATGATTAGGGCCACTGCTTTGCACAGTTCCAGATAGTGCATACACATCGTGGTTTGTTAATGGGACCCACTAGAATGGGACAGTGTATTGCCTGTATAGCCACATTCAGTGACCTTGAGTACAACGTCAATCTATAAAAATAGACCTACTGACAGATTTATATTTATGTGAATCTGTACTTGGAGGAAAGGCTGAAAAGAAATTAATAGTATTAACAGTGGTGCTCTCTAGATGTAGGCTTTTATTTCATCTTAATTCTTTTGGTTAATGGAAGAGTTACTATTCTTAGCTGTATTTTGTGAAATTGTCTAATTTTTCATCACTTAAGCTATGGCTAAGGTTGTTATTGGACAAAGTACATTAAAGCAGCATTATAAATAGATGGAGAAAGAAGAGGCTTTATTTATATCTAGTTTAAATCACCTTAGGCCTTCTTATCAGTCTATTTTTTTAACACATGATTTGATATAAAATACTTACATATTTTTATTTTTGACATGGGTGAAATTGTTAGCGTCAGAGTTATAAATACAGAGCTAACTTATATCATACAAATGTTAATAAAGCTTGATATGAAATAATCATTGCCTGATAAAGGATTTTATATCATACAATATATTACTAAAAGGGGCTGAGTTAAAAAGAAAGATATGGTTTTTGGGGTTGCCTGATCTTACATTGATAGTGTTATTCTCTGGATACTTAATGCTAAGTAACCTTCAAAATCCTATAGTTTAATTTTTTTGACACCTGATTCCTTCCTTATGGATATTTACTTTTCTTGCCTTTGTAAAGCGAATTTTGGTTTTTAGGGATCTGGACCCTAGTTTGGAAACAATCTTTGTGTTGCCTTTATAATGGATTTTGATGTGCTACTAATGAGCTATTTTGTTTTCCAGATGGGAATGGTGGTCTTTATCGGGCACTTGCAGCCCAGAATATTGTGGAGGATATGGAGCAAAGGGGCATTTGGAGCATTCATGTCTATTGTGTTGACAACATATTAGTAAAAGTGGCAGACCCACGGTTCATTGGATTTTGCATTCAGAAAGGAGCAGACTGTGGAGCAAAGGTAATGCCTTTCTCAACTATGGTGAGGCTTTTGATGGTCTTTCTCTGTCATATATGCATTCCAGAATTCAAACCAAGTTTATTAGGGTGATTTGAATATTTTAGAACCATTTATCTCTCTAAGGTAACTAAACGGTCCCACACCTCCTTTTTTCCTTAAATTGGCAAGACTTGATTCTAGAAGTAATGTTGTATACTTATCAATCACAAGTAAGAGTTTAAAGTATGTGAGGAGGATTTGTAAGTACTTGGGAAGGTAGTCATCACTAGACCTGGGTTGGATTCATTAATACCAAATTGTGTTCAATCAGATTAACCCAACTTTTTTCCTGTGACAAAGTTATTGGAGTAGGAAAGGAAAATGTAGTAGACACAACAGATTTAGACTTCCTAAGTCAGGTGACAAGGTATCTGATGATGTTCTTTCGAATAATTTGGAAATAGGTAAGTTGGGCATAAGGACAATTAAAGAGATGAATACTTGCTTGAATGACCACTCACAGACTGATACTAAGTTGGAGGGAGGTTTGTAATGATATGTAATGATTCTGTTCTTGGCATTGTACTTTTCAACATGTTTTTAGTTGTATAGATGATATGTCTTTAAGGTAGCAAAAAAATATGTATTATAGCTAGAAATAGATAGCAAACATGCAAACCTTTAAAAACACTTTGGAAGACTTAAAAATATTGATATAAACATTACTAGAAGTCTGTAAAGGTATCCATTCTCATCAAAAACAGTATAATACAATCCCAGTCAAAATCACAGTGAGACTATTTTGGGGACACTTGACAGAATGATTGCAAAGTTTAGAATAAACATGTAAAGGTGGCCAGGAAAATGTTGAAAAAGGATGAAGATAAGCGAGGAAAGGGGGCCAAAGACAATCTATCAAGCATTAAAAGGAATTGTAAATTAAAAGAGTGTGGTACTAGAACCAGAATAGAATGACAGATTAATGAAAATAATGTAGGTCAGTCAGAAACACATCTGTGTATGTATAAGAAGAACACATTTTATAAAATATGGCATTTCAAATCAGTGGAGGAAGTTAATGAAATAACTGGCTAACAATAAAGTAAGATCTCTCTGTCAAAGTTCATACAAATATCAATTTTAGGTGAATTACAGTTAAGTATTTTAAAATGAAGCCATAAAGGTATTAGAAGAAAATTAGAATAATTTTACAATTGTGATGCAAAGGGAAGACCTTTCTACCAAAAGCAGTAACTATATAGACTTCTGACAAAAACAAATTAGCTTTCAAATTATTTTGAAATATCTGTATTTAAAAAGAAGATCTGCCAAAGAAGTGATTTCTCTCAAAGTTAATCTAGAAATTTTATGCAAAGTCACATCTGAAGCTGAAATCTTAAATTTACTGATACAAGTTTTGAAAGATTAAGCTGATGGACCTAATAAGCCTCCTCTGGACTCTGAAAATAAGAGTTGGTTTAGTTCATTTATTTAAGACTTCTGTATACCCTGTGAGTATCTGAACTGTATTTTTATTTTTATTTTTCGAGCCACAGACTCACTGTGTCATCCAGGCTGGAGTGCAGTGGCAGCATCTCGGCTCACTGCAACCTCTACCTCCTGGGTTCAAGTGATTCTCCTGCCTCACCCTCCCCAGTAGCTGGGATTATAGGCACACACCTTCCACTTGGTGTCACTCTTTTTTTTTTTTTTGAGACGGAGTCTTGCACTGTCGCCTGGGCTGGAGTGCAGAGGCATGATCTCAGCTCACTGCAACCTCCGCCTCCCAGGTTCAAGCAATTCTCCTGCCTCAGCCTCCTGAGTAGCTGGGATTATAGGCACTCACCACCAGACCCAGCTAATTTTTTTGTATTTTCAGTAGAGACAGGGTTTCGCTATGTTGGCCAGGCTGATCTCGAACGCCTGACCTCATGATCCACCTGCCTCGGCCTCCCAAAGTGCTGGGATTACAGGCGTGAACCACTGTGCCCGGCTGGTATCACTCTTTTTTTCTAAAATAGAAACTTAAAATTTTACTGTTACGAGCTTCAGAACCAATTTAAACTTTATGCAGTCAGAGAGTGTTCAACCTGGAAGGGACCCCAGAGATCATCTGGTCAACCCCTTTGATCTCAGAAATGAGAATCCTGAGTTCTAGTACTTTGTTTGTTTGTTTATTTATTTGATAGGGTCTGGCTGTGTTGCCTAGGCTGGAGTGCAGTGATGTGATCTTGGCTCTCTGCAACTTCTGTCTCCAGGCTCAAGCAATTCTCCTGCCTCAGCCTCTGGAGTAGCTGGTAACATGGGCGTGCACCACCATGCCTGGTTAATTTTTTTGGGTCTTTTTGTATTTTTAGTAGAGACAGGGTTTCTCTGTGTTGCCCAGGCTGGCCTTGAACTTCTGACCTCAGGTGATCTGCCCACTTTGGCCTTTTGCTGGGATTACAGGCGTGAGCCAACACACCCGGCCAGAGTTCTAGTACTTTATAAGACCCAGGCTCAAGGTTCTTTATCACATTAGCAGAGCCAGGATTAGAGTTCGTGTTTCCCAACTTCCTAGTCTTATATTATATTACATTATAGAACCATACTCTTTAGATTAGTTAAGTTTTTGCTGACAGCTCAAAAATCTTTAAACTGCTGTGCTGACTTTTGTGAGTACACGAATCATGCAAAGATGCAAGTGTTGTCACTCCTCTCCATTACCTGTGGACTCTGTAGGGTAAATCCAGACTGAGTCTTGCAAAGACACTCACTGTTTAGTCCTGTGTCTGGCATGTAATGTAGTAGTCACTCAGTGAATGAATAAGTAAATATTCAGATGGAACCAAAATATAACTAGACTGGCATATATTAAAATCTTTTAGAAATGGAAGCCTTTTATGTAATTGCTCCCCTGCCCTTTTAAAATAAGAAAATCAAAGCATTAAAATATGTGTCTTAAAACATGTAAGTTAGGGGATGATTCATACTGTGGTAGTAGAATTATTTGCAGTACTTTATTTTTATTGTATTTATTTATTTTGAGACAGGGTCTCACTCTGCCACCCAAGCTGGTGTGCAGTGGTATTATCATGGCTTCAGTGCAGCCTCGACCTCCTGGGTTCAGGTGATCCTCTCACCTCAGCCTCCTGAGTAGCTGGGACTACAGGCACCCGGCACCATGCCTGGCTAATTTTTGTCTTTTTTGTAGAGATGGGGTTTTGCTATGTTGCCCAGGCTGGTCTTGAAATCCTGGGCTCAAGCAATATGCCTGCCTGAGCCTTCCAAATTGCTGGGATTACAGGTGTGAGTCATTGTGCCTGGCCTGCAGTACTTTAATAGGCCCCTGTCTTGGTGCATTAAGTATTTTTTATGGAGTGAGGAACATGAGAAAAGACTGAAAGAGTGAGGTAATTTGCAGAAGTGCAAAGTTTAAAAGGCAGGAACCCAAGCAATTATAGTAACTCTGAGGTTAAAGTGTTATTTTGTACTCAGCTTTTCTTTCAGCTCACTGCAACCTCTGCCTACCGGGTTCAAGTGATCTTCCTGCTCAGCCTCCCAAGTAGCTGGGATTATAGGCATGTGCCACCACACCTGGCTAATTTACCATGTTGGCCAGGCTGGTCTTTTAACTCCTGATCTCAAGTGATCCATCTGCCTTGGCCTCCTGGAGTGCTGGGATTATAGGTGTGAGCCACTGTGCCCGGCCCTGGACTCAGTTTTTCTGGATTAAACTTATGAAATAATGAGTAAACCTTTTAAGTTTATACTGTATATCTTTTGTGTGTGTGTGTGTGTTTTTTTTTTTTTGAGATAGAGTCTTTCTCATTTCGTCCAAGCTGGAGTACAATGGCGCAATCTTGGCTCACTGCAATCTCCGCCTCCCAGGTTCAAGTGATTCTTCTGCCTCAGCCTCCCAAATCGCTGGGATTACAGTGCCTGCCACTATGCCTGGCTAATTTTGTTTTAAATTTTCAGTAGAGATGGGGTTTCACCATGTTGGCCAGGCTGGTCTTGAACTCCTGACCTCAGGTGATCTACGCACCTCAGCCTCCCAAAGTGCTGAGATTACAGGCGTGGGCTACCACACCCGGTCTAAGCTTTATATCTTTTATGTATAATATAAATTGATTCCCATTTCATGCAGTTTACAAATGCTTTCTTCTGTAATGTAGACTTTTATAATATTTGGAGGTTAATAGTTGCCATAGAAGTAAACCTTTGGAAAATGTAAAATGTGAATATGCATATTTTTATTTTTATGGCTGGTTGGGAGTAGGCGTATATAGCGGTGATTGGAAAATAAACCTGTGTGTGTTAAAAAAAAAAAAAAATGAGAATAAGGGGAATCTATCCCAAATTCCCTCCTAGTAAGATACCCACTGTAGGTAAAGTACATGAAGTAAGAGGTGGTGATGGGTTGGTAGATAAGAATTATAAATAGGCCCGTGAATTGATTTAAATGATTTACTGCATAATGTTCCCCTTCAGTTTAATCTAATTCCTTGGTAGAAAGTTTCTTTTCATTAAGAATTGTGTTCCTACAGGGTGACAAACAGTGAACCACACAGCAGGCTTACTTATCTAGCAGCTCTGCCTCACCCAGCTAGACTCAGTGCCTATATCTCTTAATTGCTGTGTAAATGAAGTTCTCAATAGTGCCTTTAGTTTTCTGGACGAGACTGCTACTGACTGTATTTATTTTAAGAAATCAGTTATTGAAGAAAAGTTTTAACTTTATTAATATAATTTCATGTCCACTTAGGATAGACTTGTCAAATTGGGGACAGAGTTTTAAACATATTTTGAAGCATGCTGAATTGATAATTGGACAGGACAAATAAAACAATACCTTCAAATAAATATGTATTTTTGATACAGAGTCTTACTCTGTTGCCCAGGCTGGAGTGGAGTGCAGTGGTACAACCACGTTTCACTGTAGCCTCAACCTCCCCAGACTCAGGTGATCCTCTTGCCTCAGCCTCCCTAGTAGCTGAGACTCCAGCATGCCACCATGCCTGGCTAATTTTTTTATTTTTTAAATAGAGACCAGGGTTTCACCTTGTTGCCTAGGTTGACAAATATTTTTTATTGTTTGATTCTTTGGTTGGATATTTATCTCATCTGAACCTTGATTTTATATTAGTTCATTGTATATAGTTCTTTTATAATTTTCTTGTGAACGCTTAAGTCAGTGATGTGTGGGATTAGTGTGGTGGCACACCAAAACCACTTGTGAGGTTTTTAAAAATTACATATTCTTACATTTTCCCTCTGATTTTAGTATGCCCTCATTTCTCAGCTCCCCATCAGCCCAGAGCCTTTGATAAATTGTCACATCACTGGTTTTCAAAATTAATTTTTTGAAATGTAGAATCACTTATTTCAAACAAAATTGAGTATACAAAACAGATAAATATGGTTGGGTTTTCTCATTAAAGTTGGAGTGGGAGGCTAGTGACCTGCCTGCTCTAAACCCCTTTACCTGCTACTCAGGTCCCTGAAAAACAAGAAAAATGCCATATTCACTAATGAAAATTAAAGAAATGCTATTTTCAAATGAAATATTGGGCAATAGAAAATGAGAGACAAAATGCCTAACTTAGGTCTTTTGTCTTGTGAATCCCAGAGAAATTTCATTTTGTTTATTATCAAAGTAATTGAGTGTGGTTAAGGATAAATTAAACAAAAAGTACAAGATACATGGGGAATGTTGACTCCTGATTTAGTTATTCCCAGTCCAATGTGATTTACTCTGTGCTAAATATATATATATATATATGATGGAATTTCTAGCCCATGGTTTAGTTAGGTGATAAGTAGGAAGGAAATAATGTACCTCATTTCCGGTTGGAAAGTGCCTGTCAAGGTATATAAAGATGGATAGTTGATTGTCTAAAGTTAAAGATTCTTCTTGGCTTTATACCTTTTCGTGTAAGCAAAGTTTTAAATGTCATCTTTGACAATGGCAAATCTCCAAAGAAACATTTAATTCCATTTCTTTCTCTATTGTTGTCTGTCTTTGGTGGACAGGTGGTGGAAAAAACGAACCCTACAGAACCAGTTGGAGTGGTTTGCCGAGTGGATGGAGTTTACCAGGTGGTAGAATATAGTGAGATTTCCCTGGCAACAGCTCAAAAACGAAGCTCAGATGGACGACTGCTGTTCAATGCGGGGAACATTGCCAACCATTTCTTCACTGTACCATTTCTGAGAGATGTTGTCAAGTATGGGCAAGATGGGGCCTTTTAAAATTATATTTATTGTTAATCAGAAACTAAGACTCTTAAGAGGGACGCAGATACCCCAAATCCATATCCCACAGAATTCATCTTTCCCGAGGATTACTTATCAAATGGACATGTATCTCATGTTGTGATTGTTTTTAGTAAGATGTATTGTAAGGTGGGAATCATCGGAGCCCATTCCCCAGCACATTAATGGGAGGTCAAAGCATTTCTCCCTTCTCACCTTCCCACCCCCAGCTATGTGCTAGGTTCTGTTGAAGCAAAAAATAAGAAATGAAACTTTCTTTACCACAACTGTGAGCTTTTTAAAAATACAGATATTCACCCTACACCAACTGAATTAGAGTTTCAGAAGGTCGGTTCGGGGCATCTGTATTTTTAGGAAGCTGTCCTCAGAGTTCTAATTCAGCTGATTCCTAAGCTGGCATTTAGGAACTAGTATGCTAAAGAATAAAGAAAGAACTTGACACCTGCATGAAAATCAGTGGGTAGTGCTACAAAGGATAAAATAAGAGCTATTTTATCCCACCATAGTTTTAAATGAAGGACATTCTCACTATCAATTTCACTTAGCTTTTAGACATTCAAGATGACTCTCTACTTTTTAAAAAGTTAATACACCTTTATCCAGTTCCAGAATATTTCCCATTCTATGCCATTTGTAGCTGTGTTTTTGTTTCATCCATAGTAACTTAATGCATTTTTTAATGTACACATATACAGTTTTAAGGCATTTGTAATGAATACAGTTTTAATGCACACGTACACAGTTTTAGTGGAGACCGTTATTTGATTTTTTAAAAAATAGATGATTCGGGGAAAGCTATTCATTTACTATTTAAGTATGAACTGAAACTTAAATGCTCTTCACTTTGAAAATCTTAGTATTGGTTGTTGACACATTTGCTCCTGAGTGTTATAAGATTTTCTGGCATTTGAAATCTGAAACATGATTATATCTTTTCTCCTTCTACTTCTTAGTGTTTATGAACCTCAGTTGCAGCACCATGTGGCTCAGAAGAAGATTCCTTATGTGGATACCCAAGGACATTTAGTTAAGCCAGACAAACCCAATGGAATAAAGATGGAAAAATTTGTCTTTGACATCTTCCAGTTTGCAAAGTATGCTTTGAATAGTACCAGTAAGGTTAAATAAATGTCTTAAAATGCTGCTCTTCACTCTCTTAGGCATGAAACTGTTTTTAGGAAACATTTGATAGCACATATCTCACATGGCATTTTGATTGTGAGTATGCAGTCTAGATTCATTATGGTTCTCTAGAATAAAACCAGGAGTGTGATCTGAGTTGCCTATGAGTACAACATTTTTTTTTTTTAATCATCTAGTTTCTGGGTCCTATAAAGTTTTTTTTTCATATATATATATTTATTAAATGAGATGGGTTCTTCCTATGTTGAGCAGGCAGGTCTCAAACTCGCGGCCTCAAGTGATTGTCCCATCTCGGCTGCGCAAAGTGCTGGGATTACAGGCTTGAGCCACTGTGCCCCGCCTTGGTCTCCTGTAAAGTTGTTGTTGTTGTTGTTTTTTTTTTTTTGAGATGGAGTCTCGCCCTGTTGCCCAGGCTGGAGTGCAGTGGCCGGATCTCAGCTCACTACAAGCTCCACCTCCCGGGTTCACGCCATTCTCCTGCCTCAGCCTCCCAAGTAGCTGGGACTACAGGCGCCCGCCACCGCGCCCGGCTAGTTTTTTGTATGTTTTAGTAGAGACGGGGTTTCACCGTGTTAGCCAGGATGGTCTCAATCTCCTGACCTCATGATCCGCCTGTCTTGGCCTCCCAAAGTGCTGGGATTACAGGCTTGAGCCACCGCGCCCGGCCGTAAAGTTGTTAAAGTCGTTTATTTTGGATGAGAAACTGAAAAGGTTAAGATAAAGAATTGACCCGTTTTGTATTTAGGATATCTTTTTACTGCCCTGTTAATAAATATTTTAGTAAACATGTTTTTAGATTATGTAGTTTTCTATAAAGATCACATTTGATGTTGAGATGCTTGTCTCAGAATTTGATGAGTGCAAAAATGAGGAAGACAAATAAGCTGTATAAAATCAATGCGTGGTGGCTCATGCCTGTAATTCCAGCAGTTTGGGAGGCTGAGGCGGGTGGATGACTTGAGGCCAAGGAGTTGGAGACCAGCCTGGCCAACATGGTGAAACCCCGTCTCTACTAACAGTACAAAAATTAGCCGGGCGTGGTGGTGCATGCCTGAAGTCCCAGTTACTCAGAAGGCTGAGGTGAGAGAATCTCTTGAACCCAGGAGGTGGAGGTTGCAGTGAGCTGAGATTGCACCACTGCAGTCCAGCCGGGGTGACAGAGTGAGACTCTGTCTCAAAAAAAAAAAAACCCATAAATTAATAAAATGAAATTAATCTTTCCATTTCTAAATCATCTTTTTTGCCTGTTTTTTTTTCCCCCCCCAGAACAGGCACTAATGTGATCTTTGTACATTAGGATTCCTAATCTTTCTGACTTAAGATGAACTGTTCTATAGTTGAGGGGGGAAATGATTTCTCATTTCGCATTCAGAAAGAAAATTTCAACTTTCTTTAGTCGAAGGATGAGCAATATTTTATTCATCATTCAAATTGGATTAGGAAAGCCCATTGTTGAAGACCAAAGGCTTAGCTATGTTAAGGGGTTAGAAGCTGTGTATGCAGTTTCATAATAAAGAGGTCTTTATATGGTTTTGCTCTAGGAAGTTTGTGGTGTATGAAGTATTACGGGAAGATGAGTTTTCCCCATTAAAGAATGCTGACAGTCAGAATGGGAAAGACAACCCTACTACTGCAAGGCATGCTTTGATGTCCCTTCATCATTGCTGGGTCCTTAATGCAGGGGGCCACTTCATAGATGAAAATGGCTCTCGCCTTCCAGCAATTCCCCGGTAAGTCAGTATCTTTTCTCTTTTGTATGAATGCTTTCTTGGACTTTTCCTCCTCTTGGACTACTTTCTCTCTCTCTCTCTGTATTCCTAGATCTTTTTTAAAAAACAAAGTGTTAATGTGTGAATAGTTCCTGTTGTGAAATAACACTAGCTTTGTCTATTACAAAGAGAATGATTGTTTTACTTTCTTGTGAAGAGGAGTCTTTCAAATCTCTTTCTTTAATTTTTATGTTTTGGAAACAATGCCACCATGACAGCAAAAAGACTTCTACTAAATAACGATCAGAAGATTTTTTTTTGTTTTGGTGTGCCATATGGTTAAAGCCCATCGGTAACACTCTGTACCACAGGGCAAGTCCTTCAGCCACAGAGGATTGGTTGTTGCTGCCCTATTATATCTGTGGCCTCACTACTTTTTTTTTTTTTTTTTTTTTTGAGACAGAGTATCGCTTTGTCACCAGGCTGGAGTGCAGTGGCACAATCTCAGCTCACTGCAGCCTCCACCTCCCGGGTTCAAGCGATTCTCCTACCTCAGCCTCCCAAGTAGCAGGGACTACAGGTGCACACCACCACACCCAGCTAATTTTTGTATTTTTATTAGAGATGGGCTTTTACCTTGTTGGCCAGAGTGCTGTTGATCTCCTGACCTTGTGATCCGCCTGCCTTGGCCTCCCAAATTGCTGGGACAGGCGTGAGCCACTGGGCCCAACTGACCTCACTACCATTAATAGTACTGTCTGTGAGACCCACTCATAGCCCCACCAACCCCAGGCTACCTACAAATTGTAGTCCCATGGCAGTTTTCACTGTCGTACTTTCAGGTCATTGAGGAAGATGTCTAGAACAGAAGTAAATATCAATTACATTCACTGATACTTTAGAAATGGCCTTGGTTTTGAGCAGTTAAAAAAAAGAAGGTATTGTAGCAATTTAAATCCAAGGTAAAATACTTTCCAGCTAAATTTGTTTTTGTTTGTTTGTTTGTTTTTTGGAGCCAGAGTTTCGCTCTTGTCACCCAGGCTGGAGTGCAATGGCACAATCTCTGCCCACTGCAACCTCTGCTTCCTGGGTTTGCGTGAGTCTCCTGCCTCAGCCTCCCAAGTAGCTGGGGTTACCCTCGCCTGCTGTAATGCCTGGCTAATTTTGTATTTTTAGTAGAGACAGGATTCCACCATGTTTGTCAGGCTTGTCCCGAACTCCTGACCTCAGGTGATCCGCCCACTTTGACCTCCCAAAGTGCTGGGATTACAGGCGTGAGCTGCCATGTCTGGCCAGTCCTTTTTGTTTTTAAGACAAGGTCTTGCTCTGTCAGCCAGGCTGGAGTGCAGTGGCGCGATCTCGGCTCACTTCATCTCCTGGGCTTAAACAATACACCTGCCTCGGCCACCCAAAGTGCTGGGATTACAGATGTGAGCTATTGTGCTCAGCCTAAATCTTGTATTTTATGATGAAACCTTCACTGGCACCTAGAATTTCCCCTTCTGAATCATCTGATATATCCGTACTTATGTAAAAAGCATTCTGCCATTTAATTTATATTCCTAACGGATAAGATGGCTGGCTGCAAGAATGCCTCAATAAATGTTAAAATATTGGGCTGGGTGTGGTGGTTCATGCCTGTAATCCCAGTATTTTGGGAGACTGAGGCAGGTGATTACCTGAGGTCAGAAGTTCAAGACCAGCCTGGCCAACATGGTGAAACCCTGACTCTGCTAAATCTACAAAATTAACTGGGCATAGTAGCACACACCTGTATCCCAGCTACTTGGGCGGCTGAGGCAGGAGAATTGCTTGAACCCAGGAGGGAGAAGTTGCAGTGAGCTGAGACTGTACCATTGCACTCCAGCCTGGGTGACAGGGTGAGAGACTTCATCTCAAGAAAAAATAATAAAATGTTAGATAACACATTGGAATTTACTAGTACGTAACTGGTTTTATAAGAAGCAGCAGTGGTAGCTTTCATCTCCCAGTCCAAGGCCACTTTTGGGCTCTGTATTGGTCAACAAGCTTGGTCTTGGCATGTCACGTTGTCCTCATGTTTCATCTTTGGCCATTGAGTTTTATTTTGATTTTTTTTAACCCCCTTTTGGTCTCTTGGGACAAATTTATGATTTACCATAAATACATACCATTCAATCAAGTATATTTTGCAACTCCATTTCATTGTTATTGTTTGATTTGCTTCCATTCCCATTAATGCTTATTTATTCCCACATAGCAGTGCTACAAATGGGAAGTCAAAGACCATCACAGCTGATGTCAATCACAAGTAAATATACCAGCCTGCCTACAGTGCATGGTGATGGGGCTGTGCTTCCCTTCATACTAACTGGCATCGTAGTTTAGTGCTCTGCCTTTTGGGGGTCTGGAGGGAGGATGGTTGAAGCTTTGGTGTGGGTGCACTGCTTACTTGGTGGCAGGTATCTCTCTGGATAACACTAACTCAGAATCTTGTTGCATGCTGGAAATGGGGAGCATGCTTTACTAAAGAATCTGACCACAGGTGTTAGAACTGGAACTGACAAATTTTAGATGATAGATAAGATCCAGAGCAGGTTGCAGGTCAGGGAGAACACATTTTGCACCTTTAACATAAGCTTGTACAGGTTTAAAAATACCATTCTGAAGATGTGTCTTGTGGAATTGGGTGTATGCTGTCAGTATAAAGGCTAATTGTTCCTGTCGTGTTTGATGGCCCTTGATATGGTGAAAACTGTTCTGTTGATTTATTCTCACACTAATAACTCCCCTTTTTGGTCACTGCATTAATTTTAGTTACTATCTTGCTTCTAAAGAATCTTTTAATCTTAATGGCAGATCATTTTTAGTTAGAAGTAACATATATCCTCTCCCATCTGGGTACTGACAGAGTTTGGAAAAGCCGTTATCTTTATAGTTTAAGAGACAGCTTGGTGTTATTGTTACACGTTGAAAGTTAAAGTTTTTAAGGTTGGGTGCAGTGGCTTACGCCTATAATCCCAGCACTTTGGGAGGCCAAGGCGGGTGGATTTTCTGAGGTCAGGAGTTGGAGACCAGCCTGGCAAACATGGTGAAACCTCATCTCTACAAAAAATACAAAAATTAGCTGGTGTGGTGGTGCACACTTGTTAACTAGCTACTCAGGAGGCTCAGGCGGGAGAATCACTTAAACCTAGGAGGCAGAGGTTGCAGTGAGCTGAGATTGCACCACTGTACTCCAGCCTTGGTGACAGAGCAAGACTCCATCTCAAAAAAAAAAAAAAAAGAAAAAAAAAGTTTTTAAGGTAATTTGGGAAATATATGTAGGGCAAAAGATCTGGAGATGGAAGTTGTCTCAGAAATAGAGTAGCACTGACATCAGTGTCACCCAAGTGCTTTTTCCTGTTTGTGCCATTCCTCTGCCCAAATTCCTGTGAATGTCAATATTTCTGGGATGTGACTCTGTAAACAAGGAAGTGGACTCAGAGATCTGATCGATTTCTTACAGGTGCTGTAGGTCAGTGGTCCCCAACCTATTTTGGCACCAGGGACTGGCTTTGTGGAAGACAAATTTTCCACGGACTTGGGGTGGTGAGGGTGGTTTCAGGATGATTCAAGCACGTTATATTTATGGTATACTTTATTTCTATTATTATTACATTGTAATGAAGTAATTATACAACTCACTGTAATGTAGAATCAGTGGGAGCCCTGAGCTTGTTTTCCTGCAACTAAGTGGTTCCATTTGGGGATGATGGGAGACATCATCAAGCATTAGATTCTCATGAGGAGCATACAGCCTAGATCCCTTACATGGGCAGTTCACAATAGTGTTCACATTCTTATGAGAATCTTTTGCGGCCACTGATCTGACAGGAGATGGAGCTCAGGCAGTAATGTGAGTGGTGGGGAGCGTGTGTAAATACAGATGAAGCTTTACTCACTTGCCCACTGCTCATCTTCTGCTGTGTGGCTCAGGTCCTAACAGGCCACAGAGTAGTACCGGTCCATGGCCCAGGGGTTGGGGACTGCTGCCACAGATGGCTGTTGTCCCTCATGCCTTGAGAACTGTATGCAGATCCCTTTGTCACTTTCTGTCTCATCTACCATTTTTAATATATGGAAGCAAACTGCTTTTATATTAAAAAAATAAAACTTTGACTAAATTTTTTTGTCATTGAACCGTAGCTTTGAACCTAAGAGTGTAATAGATTCTTTATTATATAACTGAAGACAGCATCTAGCTATCTTAGTTAAGATACAAAAAGCTTTAAACATTATTCTTACTCTTTTATTTAAAACCCCCCATCGCCCAGTTTTCTTCATTTTAGCTGTTTGTAGAATAATTAAAGTGAAATGAAAGTTTGACTTTAAATGATACCATGCACTGAAAAAGAGTTCCTGCATAATCCTTGGCACCAAAGGATGAACTCACACAGCTGAAGAAAATCATGTAATAGTGAGAGACGAAAAGAAAGTATATTATGTAAAAGAGGGAAGAAGCAGCTGGGAGTATTCTGAAAGAAGGGAAACAGCCATGCTGAGTTTTGACACAGTATTATTTTTATTTCTCACCTTAATGCTTACTGAATACTGTTAGCTACCAAAAGGATGCATGGCTAAAGAATTGTGGGGCAGTTGGTATATTGGGCTAATTTGCCTATATCCTGAGATTTTACATTTGGTGATGGTAGCTTCTGTTTTCCCTCCTTCAGGGCATCCAGTTTTGTTTGCTAAAGTTGACTCCTTAGTTTCTTGGGGTATCTTTGTGGTAGTAGAATGGAAGTTATATATTAAGGCCAGCTGTATATGTGTTTCTTGGGTTCACAACCACCTTCTGTTCCTGCTACACTGAATCCTTCGGGGTTTAGGTGGGACTGGGCTATATACATCTTATTAATGGGTGGGCCCTCATTTTTTCCTTGGCATGCCTACTCAAAATTCATTTGGTTTTGTATGACTTTGAGTTGCCCTAGAAGGTCTGGACTAGACCTCTTGAGCTCTTGTGGTAGAATCTGGCACGTATGTAGAGAGGTGTGTGCCCTACTATACCTCCTCTTTTCCCTTCATTAGTTTGTCATCTGTCTATTTTCATAGTGTTATTTGTTCAGACAACAAGCATTGGTAGGCCTGCTCATAGGTTTATAGGTGCTATTAGTATTCTAGGTGCTGAAGTATCTTATACAAGAGAAATAAGTCACTTCTTACAGCCTACTGGGATGTTCAAGATGCATATACATAAAAGTTAAGTAAATTTTCAGACAGTATGTGATTATGTGCCAAATGTGTGCTATAGCAATAATAACTCTAGGAGGCAGTGACTTAGCAGGTGTCTAATACATTTATTTTTTATTTATTATTGTTATTACTATTTTTGAGATGGTGTCTTCCTCAGTCGCACAGGCTGGAGTGCAGTGGAGCGATCTCAGCTCATTGCAACCTTCGCCTCCCAGGCTCAAGCGATTCTCCTGCCTTAGCCTCCTGAGTAGCTGGGATTACAGATGCTCGCCTCCACACCCAGCTAATTTTTTGTATTTTTACTAGAGATGGAGTTTCACCATGTTGGCCAGGCTGGTCTTGAACTCCTGACCTCAGGTGATCTACCCACTTTGGCCTCCCAAAGTGTTAGAATTACAGGCGTGAGCCACTGCACCCAGCCACATTTATTTTTTATATGACTAAATGGATGGAGACAATTACTATGAAATGCAGTGGTCAAGAGAAGATTGGGGCTTGAGCCAAATCTTGGAGGATGAGTGTGGTTTTTATGGGGCCATAATTGAGAATGACTTGGAATAATCCAAAGAGTGTGACTGGTCTGATTTGAGTGGAGAGTCTCAGGATAAGTAAGTTGAAGTAGGATAGAGAGTGCTTTGAATGCTAGAGAAAGGTTGACCTGTAGCTGAACTCAGAAGCCCTCTGGTTTTTATTCACTCCAGCAAAGTTTGAGACTATGTACTTAGGGAAAGAAAAGAAAGAGCTATGGTTTGACAAGAGACTAATATTTTTGTGCCCTGTGTCTTATTGGTAAGATTCTTGAAGCGGCAAGTAACAAAGAAGTCTGATGACTGCAAATGCATTGACTATTTATTGACTTTTGTGTTAGATAACTTAGAAATTCATTGCTATAAATGTTAGGTTGTGACCTAGATGAAGCAAATAGGGACTTTGACCTTGCTTTTGCTTGAGTGCCTTATGCCTTAGCTCTTTAGAAAGGGACTTTTGGTAACAGAGAAGTACTTTGAAACATACTGAATAAATCAGCTCAGTTAATCTAGAATATTTGGGATGTACAGAAAAACATGTACTGGGAAATAATTTAATTGTCCAATAGAACTTTCTGCAGTGAAGGAAATGTTGCATATCTTTGTTGTCCAATTTCGTAGTCATTGGGCATTCATGGCTTCTGAACCCTTGAAGTGTGATTGTTATGACTGAGAAACTGAATTTTAAATTTTAAATTAATTTTAAAAATTTTAACTAAGTTTAAGTAGCCCTGTGTGGCTATTGGCTTCTGTATTGGATAGTACAGCTTTAGAATGTTTGTCAACCTTAATAGTACCGAGGTAGTGGTGAGAATTAAAATGCAATATGAAGGGCTCCAGAGCACCTAGCACTGGGCTTGGCATATAGTATATACCTAGCAAGTAGTTGCCTTTTTATCAAATTGAAACTTGGAAATAGTAAAAAATGAAATGTAGGTAAGGGGACAGTGTATAAAAACTATAAAAACTAGTGAAGTGCTGTAAAGAGCTACCCATAATTATTGGCACTTGCCCCAAATAGTGTCCTTCTGACCTGAGAATTTCATATTAACTTAATCCTCAGGGAATTTAGTGATCATTAGGGTAGCATCTGTTCCATTTGTTTAACTGGCAGAATTGTTATCTGTAAGCTTCTCAGAGGAAAGTTGATGGTTTGTACTTTTGCTCCGGCAAGTAACATGGGAAGCAAAATCTTTAACACACATTTGTTTTTTTTCTTAGCTTGAAGGATGCCAATGATGTACCAATCCAGTGTGAAATCTCTCCTCTTATCTCCTATGCTGGAGAAGTAAGTCTGCTTTACTTTTTCCTCTATTCTTTTGCAAAGCTTTGTATATTTCAAAATAACAAAAAGGTGGATTTTAAATGTTCTCACCACAAAGAAAGGATAAGTATTTGAGGTGATAGGTATGTTAATTGGCCTTATTTGATTATTCTACAGTGTATACATGCATCGCATCATCACATTGTATCTCAAAAATATATATAATTATTGTCAATTAAAAATGAAATAAAGTTGGGCACAGTGGCTCACTCCTGTAATCCCAGTACTTTGGGAGGCTGAGGCAAGTGGGTTGCTTGAGCTCAGGAGTTTGAGACCAGCCTGGGCAATATAGTGAGACCTTGTCTTTATAAATTAAAAAAAAAATAACAAAGCAATAAAACTTTTTTAAAAAGTAGAATTCTGGCATTGTTTTATGTTTAAGTAGGGATGCCCTTAGAGAAGATGCAGCATTTTCTGATGGTCCTGCCCTGAGGAGCTCTTCCTGGGAACAAGTTGAGAAACTGCATTTGTTCTGAATTCTTCTCTTTGAGAATTCCTGTTATGGCTTTGCATCTATCCCATAAGTGAGTTAGTTGCCATTAACAGACATCTACAGTAGCTAGTCCATTTCACCCACTCATTGAAATGCAGTAGGCTTTTGAAAAATATATAGTCACCCTTGTTTTTTTAGATAAATCATCTGGCTTTTTAAAAATGCAATGTAACTTTTCTTTCAAAGAGTCTAGCTTGTTCATGTACTTAGTACTGTCACTTTTGGGTGACAGTACTTGGGGATTTAGAGGTCTCTACTCTTTTAATTATGTAATATTTTTCCTGGAGATCTTTGTATTGCTTTGTTGTAGCATTAGAGACAACTTTCTTGCTTAGAAAGTTAACTCTATTGGCCGCTTGTGGCTCATGCCTGTAATCCCAGCACTTTGGGAGGCCAAGGCAGGTAGATCATTTGAGGTCAGGAGTTCGAGACCAGCCTGGCCAACATGATGAAACCCTGTCTCTACTGAAAAATACAAAAAATTAGACGGGTATGGTGGCAGGTGCCCATAGTCCCACCTACTCAGGAGGCTGAGGCACGAGAATTGCTTGAACCTGGGAGGTGGAAGTTGCAGTGAGCAGAGGGGTGAGACTCCTCCGTCTCAAAAAAAAAAAAGTTAATTTTGTGAGAGGTGATTGTAGAAAAAATGATTGTCATCTTATTAACTGTAGAAATGATAATCAGAGTAATTTTTTTTTATATTTTTTTTTGTGCTTTTATAAGTCAGTCATTAAGTCTACTCTAAAACGTATATTAAATAGATTTTGACTTTTATGTTCTGCATCTCAACCTTTTTTGGCATTTGTGCTTTAAATCATCATTATAGCAAGTCCAGCATTGCATGACAAGTGCAGATTTTCTAATTGTGTTTCATTTCAATCCTCTTTTTAGGGATTAGAAAGTTATGTGGCAGATAAAGAATTCCATGCACCTCTAATCATCGATGAGAATGGAGTTCATGAGCTGGTGAAAAATGGTATTTGAACCAGATACCAAGTTTTGTTTGCCACAATAGGAATAGCTTTTATTTTTGATAGACCAACTGTGAACCTACAAGACCTCTTGGACAACCGAAGTTTAAATATCCACAGGGTTTTATTTTGCTCGTTGAACTCTTACAGCTATTGCACACTTCCCAAGATCCAGATGACTCAACTGCAGATAGCATTTTTATGATTCCCAACTCATTGAAGGTCTTATTTATATAATTTTTTTCCAAGCCAAGGAGACTATTGGCCATCCAGGAAATTTTGTACAGCTGAAATATAGGCAGGATGTTCAACATCAGTTTACTTGGAGCTGGAAGCATTTGTTTTTGAAGTTGTACATAGTAATAATATGTCATTGTACATGTTGAAAGATTTCTATGGTACTAAAAGTTTGTTTTATTTTATCAAACATCAAGCTTTTTTAAGAAAATAATTGGGCGGTAAAATAAATGTGTCTTCTTGTCCCTGGAGTGTCATTTGTACTTGAAGAAATTATTTCATTGAGAAAATATGAAACTTGGGAGAAACTTTAAGAGAATGCATAAAAACAAATCGATGATTCAATGAGGCTGCAGAGTCATAGAACTTCTTTCAGTGAATGTCTAACTTTGGGCTTTCTCTTCTTGTCACTGTATAGTAGTAGCTCTCACTCAAAGATTATTTTGTCCCCCTCCCAAAGGGCCGTTTGGCAATGTCTGGAGATATTTTTGGTTGTGACAAGTGGGAAAGTGAAATGGTACCGCTGGCATCTAATAGGGACTAGGGATGTCACTAAACATCCTACAATGCACAGGACAGTCTCCTACGACAAAGAATTGTCTGGCCTAAAGTGTCAATGGTGTCAAGGTTGAGAAACCTTGTTTCAAATTATTCATTTACTCTGTTTTGCTCAAATATTTGGTGGCACTTAGGAATTCAAAAGAATATAGTTTCTGAATTTTCTGTGGCAGGCTATTCCAGTTTTTGTTACTGTAATTGTTTTGGAGGATTAAAAAAAAAAGACAAAGGTGGTTCTTTAAATATGGGCCATAGATCATTGGTCATTAGTAAGGGTTCTGTGTGTCTAAAATGCTGTTCGTTTGAAAAGACTGAGCTTTATAAATGCATCTTAAATAATATTTAAGTATTGACAAAAAGTATAAAAATGAACATCTGGATAAATGATTATGAAAATTATATCTAGAAAAGAGATGAATAAATTTTATTTTCCACTAACAAGTTGTCACAAGATAGGATGCCATTCATGGGGTAGGTCTTTTGTTTAAGGATCACTTTTTTTTTTTTTGAAGAGCATGTGATGTTGATATCCATCAGTCTTATCTAAATTTTTTTTTTAACTAAGGCCTAAATTGTTCATTTAGCATATTTTCTATTTTATTTCAATAACAGCTCAATTTTGCTATTGTTATCTATTCTAGTTTTCAGAAAGATTAGTGAAGTTTGACTTCTTTTTGAAATGAGCTCCAAACGGGTTGTAAGAATGGAATTGCAGAGTTTTTAGCTCCTGAATGCCAAAAACTGGTACTAATGGTGTGATCCATTTCTTTTTTTCTTGAACCTTGCTATTTCCACTGCTATTTCCACCTGCTATTTCTTCTCCCATTGTTGTAAGAACATACTAGTGACACCATGAAAAGGGAAGAATGGAAGCCTGGGATTGTGTAGTGGTTTTGTTGGAGAGGAGCGATGGCTGGGGAACATTGGGTAGTTAAGAACAAACTCTGAGAGCCTCTGAACCATGGAATGATGAGATGATAGCATTATGTATCTTTATAAGTTCTTGTTAAATAATTGTCACAATTCAGAAAATATAGAATTGGGTAAAATGTTTATGAAAATAAAAGTTAGAATAATTTGGCAGTAACAGTATAGAATTTATGTGACAGCTGATAGTCATTTTGAGTCTGACTTGATTGACTGGCTGTGATTTAATAACTTTTTTGATAGTCACAAGTGAACATATAAGCCCAATGGGTATGTTACTTGAATATTTGATTTTTGTTCAATTTCCCTCTTACCTCTCAAATTTGATCCAGTTTTGATGTCCCCAAAGGAATTATTAGTGACATCTATTGGAAGACAAAGAAAAATTACAGTTTTCAACTTCTACCTCTTCTATTCCTGGAAGTTTTGGCATTTATTGGTAATTTTGATTTTATTTCTAATTCCAGCTTACTGTTGCTAACTTTTCCTCTTTATTCATCATAGTACAGTCAGATTTCAGTTATCCAGGTAAAAAGAGGGAAGGAAAAAGCATGCGTACTCTAGAAGAGTGACTAAAACACAAATCATTCAGTTAGTTTGAAAATCTGTTTTTCTGTTGGCCAACGTGGACGTTTTTGCAATTCATGGTCCTATTTTGAACCCTGGTTTAGGAAATACATACTGGGAAGTGATGAATGAATGAGTTAGCCAATAAGGACTGAGTGCTTGCTTGTCATGTGGTCAGCAGTATTAGATGGGGTATAAAAAGTATAACACAGAGACTTGTCCTTAAAAAACTTACATTCTGGTTAAAGAGACAAAATTAACCCACATAAAATGAAAATATAATTTATTACTAAAATGTAAGGAATTAAGCTCAGTAAGAATTAAACAAAGGCAATCATAAATTGGAGTTTAGCATGTCCTCATCAAAGGATCTCATTGTATTAGGGTTCTCTAGAAAAACAGAACTGATAGGATATTAAAAGTAATGGGAAAAACTGCAATTACTTTTGCACCAGCTGAAATATATAGTTATACGAAAGATTTAATTATGAGGAACTGGCTTGTGATTATGGAGGCTAAGACCCATGATCTGCCCTCTGCAAGCTGGTGGTGTGGTTCCAGTCCAAACCCAAAGGCCTGAGAACCAGGGGAGCCAATGGCGTAAGTCTTAGTCTGAGTCTGAAGGCTGGAGAACCAGGAGTGCAGATGTCCAAGGGCAGGAGAAGATGGATGTCCCAGCTCAAGCAGAGCCAGTTCACTCTTCCTCTGCCCTTTTGTTTTATTCAGGCCCTCAATGTATTGGATGCTGCCCACCCACACTGATGAGGGCAGTCTTCTTTACTCAGTCTCCTGACTCAAATGTTAATATCTTCTAGAAACACCCTCAAAGACACACCTAGGAATAATGTTTTACCAGCTGTCTGGGCATCCCTTAACCCAGTCAAGCTGACACATAAAATTAACTATCACATCCATCATTTTGAGAGTAGAGCTATTCCCTTCCCAAATTGGGGTTATATGTTTATATATACTAACAAGAAAATGTACCTCAATAATTCTAACATGTATTACGAAAAATCAGTGTGGTTTTTAGTAATCAGACCATGTTTTTCTCATAATAGGCACTCAAACATTTTAATTAGGGTTTATTGGGTTTAATTACCTTTTTTCTTTTTTCTTTTTTTTGAGATGGTGTTTCATTCTTGTCCAGGCTGGAGTACGATGGCATGATCTTGGCTCCCTGAAACCTCTGCTTCTCAGGTTCAAACGGTTCTACTGTCTCAGCCTCCCTAGTAGCTGGATTACAGGCACCTGCCACCATGCCCAGCTAATTTTTTAGTAGAGACGGGATTTCACCATGTTGGCCAGGCTGGTTTTGAACTCTTGACCTCAGGTGATCCACCCACCTTGGCTTCCCAAAGTGCTGAGATTACAGGCGTGAGCCACGGTGCCCGGCCAGATTTAATTACCTCTAAGTGCAAATGTGTATTGTGATTTAGAAGTGGATCATGAAGGAAGATTTATAATTATTTTGGGGAGGAAAGGGGTCCCTTAACTGCATCAAGTTGCCAGGTTATTGATGCCCAAAATATGGGGTTCATTAGGAAATCTATAACTGATATTTCTAAGTGTGGTCACCTGACCAGGTACATCAGCATCACCTGGAAACTTGTTAGAAATACAGATTCTCAGAATTACTACATTATGCATTTGGGGGTACAGCCTAGAAATGTGTGTTTTAACAAGCCATCTGGGTGATTTTGGTGTACATTAAGACTTGAGAATGATCACTGTAAGAGGATTTGGGGAGGCTGACCGAAAGTTCAGAGATGTTCCTGTGTTGATTTGTTTAAGGTAATGGCCTCCAGCTGCATCCATGTTACTGCAAAGGACATGATTTCATTTTTTTTTTTATGGCTGTATAGTGTTCCATGGTGTATATGTACCACATTTTCTTTATCCAGTCCATCTTTGATGGACACCTAGCTTGATTCCATGTTTTGCAATTGTGAATAGTGCTGTGATGAACATACAAGTACATGTGTCTTTTTGGGTGAACAATTTATATATTTTTTAGAATTATACACAGTAATGGGATTGCTGGACCCAATGCCACATGTTTTCACTTGTAAGTGGGAGCTAAACATTGGATACTCATGAACATAAAGATAGCAGCAACAGACACTGGGGACTGCTTGAGAGGGGAGGGAAAGAGTGGGGAAAGGGTTGAAAAACCAATAGTTTTCCACCAATAGTTGAAAAACTATGCTTACTACCTGGGTGACAGAATCAATTGTACCCCAAGCCTCAGCATCACACAATATATCCATGTAACAAACCTGCATAGGTACTGCCTGAATCAAGAATAAAAGTTGAAATTATTAAAAAATGTTCAGGGATGATACTAAAAAGGAAACATAAATTAGGCAGAGAGACTGAGAGAGGCCAGTGTTTCCAGAGCAATAATAAATTAAGCAAGAAACCAAATAGATAAATCTTATGTGAGCTTTATTCTTTCAAACACCTGAGGGGGCGGTAAAAGAATGAAAGATGAGCTGGGTGCGGTGACTCAGGCTTGTAATCTCAGCACTTTGGGAGGCTGAGGTGGGCAGATCATGATGTCAGGAGTTTGAGACCAACCTGACCAACATGGTAAAACCCTGTCTCCACTAAAAACAAAAATTAGCCGGGTGTGGTGGCGTGTGCCTGTAATCCCAGCTACTCAGGAGGCTGAGGCAGAAGGATCGCTTGATCCCGGGAGGCAGAGGTTGCAGTGAGCAGAGATCATGCCGCTGCACTTCAGTCTGGGTGACTCGGTCTCAAAAAAAAAAAAAAGAAAAGAAAAAACTAGCAAGACATGACTAGGAGAATTGTAATTACTAGAACAATGGCTTCCAACCCTTAGGATCTTCTGAATTACTTGGAGAGATTTTTGAAAAATCTTGCAAGGTTTTGACTTCAGTCCTAGGGATTATGATTCTCAGTCTGGTAGAAGGCCAGAGCATCTAATTTGTAAAAAGCATTAGATGATTCCAAAAGGCAGCTAGGAGTGAAAATTACTGACTTGGAGGCATAGACTTAGCTTAGAAATCAGCAACCAGGGATGAGAGGGAAGAGACCGGATGTGTTCTGGCTTTGAAAGCTTAGACGAGGGGAAGAGAAGAGTGAAGAACATTTCACTTGAGAACAGTACAAGCAAAAGATGAATAGATGGGGCCAGGAAATAGGCATTCTGGGGATAATTCCTCAGACTGCTAGA